CCTTCCTTCCTTCCTTCCTTCCTTCCTTCCTTCCTTCCTTCCTTCCTCTCTCTCTCTCTTTCTCTCTTTCCTTTCTTTCTTTCCTTTCTTTCTTTCTTTCTTTCTTTCTTTCTTTCTTTCTTTCTTTCATGTATGAGTGCTCTATCTACATGTATGCATGCACGCCAGAAGAGGGCATCAGGTTTCAGCAGAGGTGGCTGTGAGCCACCATGTGGTTGCTGGGAATTGAACTCAGGACCTCTGGAAGAGCAGACAGTGCTCTTATCCACTGAGCCATCTCTCCAGCACACACATATACTTTTCACACATATACAAACGTTTGTCCACAAAGGGATTTTTTTTTTTTTAAAAAAAAAAAAAAAAAAAAAAAAACATAGCTCAGACTTGTCCCACTCCACGTAGCCATGGCTGGCCTTGAACTTCCGATCCCCCTGTCTCCACTTCCCAAATGCTGAGATTACAGGTACGTACAATCATTTTTTACACTAAGGATTCTGTCTGCCTGTGGCCTGACCATAAACAGAAGCTCCAGGGATTTGGGGATAGGCCTTTGTGCGGGGCCTCACTGCTCACTGCAGAACCAGAACCAAAAGCCCACCTTGAGATATGGAGCAGGAGTGGGAGGGAACTGAAGAGGCACTGAGAAAGGCCAGCACACCCCGGGGGAGAGAGGGTTGCCTTCTTACCCGGGTTCTGTCCTCGATCTCGTAGATCCGCAGCTGCATGGGCACGTTGAAGCTGTGCAGGATGTTCCCGCCGAACACCAGAGAGTCGACAGGGGTGTACACCGCGTGGATCCAACCTGAGTGGGGAGGGCAGAAGCAGGGTGAGCCCCAGATCCCCTCACAAGACTGGAGGGAAGGAAAGATAGCACCAGGAGGGCAGAGTGGGGCACGGATGTGCAAGGACCTGTGATCGAGACCCCAAGGCTCCCAGACAGCCTGAGGGCCTCAGCCAGCTAACTCAAGGCAGGTGCTGGGATGCTGCAGGCAAGTGCCTGTCTTGAAGATCTTGATGGTCAAACCTTCCTCCGAGGGCTTGGCTATAGCTAGGAACAGACGGTCTAGTCCCAGCATCACTGCTGAGCCAGGGAGCATGTACCGGGTGCATGCTTCTACTCCCAGCACTCACAGAGGCAGATAGACCTCTGTGAGTTCGAGGCCAGCCTACAAAGCAAGTCCAGGACAGCCAATACTACCCAGAGAAACCCTGTCTTGAAAAACCAAAAACCACCACCACCAACAACAACAATGGTGTCTCCGGCCTTTGCTAAATGATCTTTGCCGAACCACATTTCTTTGTTTTCACCAAGCAGCGCTGTGCTGTCTGCTACTGATGTCATCACCACTGTCAGCCACATTCAAATAACACTTCCTAAGACTGGACCTAGAATGCCTGGAGCCTCAAGGTCCTATTCTCATACTTCACCTTCACACACACACTTTTCCCTCTATCCAAGCCTGAGCTCAGGGCGCTTGGTTACAACTCTCCCCATGAAACCATCCCTCATCCAGCTATGTGTTCCCACCTGACGAAGACTCTTGCCTTCCTTGGGGGGAACCTGGCGAGCAGGAACTAATCGCTACAAGCAATTACAATTGGTGTCAGTTTGGAAAAGGACGGTGCCCACATTAATATGTATTGATCACCCCTGCCCCCTGTAAGGAGGCAGGGAATTAGCCTGGCATGGTGGCTCACACCACCATGTAATCTAAGCACTTGGGGAAGCAGAGGCAGGCAGATCTCTGTGAGTTCCAGGCCAGCCTGGTCTACAAAGAGTGTCCAAGACAGCCAATGCTACACAGAGAAACCCTGTTTCAAAAAAATAAAAAACACAAAGCAAACAAATAAAACAAAACAAAACAAAGGAGGCAGGGAATCTGTATGCCCAATTATTAAGGGATTCTAGAGGCTTCTACCAACTTTGCTGCCCACCCTAGGGCATCGCAGATGGATCAGGCAGACTTGGTTACACTGAAATGGCTGCTGAGTTCCCCTCCACCCCTGCTCACTTTTGCATCACTGTCTCAATGATGGCCTTAGAAAAAAAGAGAGGGAAATGGTAGCATTCAAAACCCCACGGTCCCCACTCTGCTGAGGGCAGCTCATTCACATCAAGACTCTGGGAAGCCTAGAACTGGTACCCTGGGCTATAACTGGGCAGGAGAGGCTGGTATCTGCCATCAGCAATAAGAAGGCAATAAACAGCTTATATTCAGGCCAAGCAACTGGGGACAGATGTAGCCATGGAAGGAACACAGTGACCCATAAAACCCACTGCCAGGGTGATTTCTGAGACCTGAGGGGGCCAAGAGCATCAGAGTCACAAGGAGTTTCACCACAACCCCAGGGCCCCTCGACACATCTGCCCCCGTTTCTGTAGTTGCTGTGGAGATGACCTCACAGCTCCCACAAGCACCCCGCCACCATCCCTGGGCACTGTGGCTGGGCAAACAAAAAGCTGCACCTGACCCAAGCACACATTAAGTCTGATCTACCTCATGTTACAAAATGGAGCGATCTCCCTTGAGAATCTGATTTGCTTCTCCCCTCACAAGGCGGAGAGATGCCCAAGTCAGGCCTCAACCCTACCTGGTCCTGAAGCTTCCAAGCTAAGCAGCAAGTGTCCAATTTCCCATGCCTCCAGGACCCTCTGCAGTTCACCTGCTTTGTGTACATCTCCCCTGTTCTGAACCCATTTTATGGGTGGATTGCCAAAGGCCCGATTGTGTAACACTGTCAAAGATTCAGAATCACCATTACTGACCAGCTGGTGTCGACAACCAGGAGGTACATTCCTCTCTTGAACTCAGAGGGATCCATCGGCCTCTACCTCCAAGAACTGGGATTAAAGATGAGTGCAACTACCATGCCCAGCAAAGTTGTTTCTTGAGGTAAATAACATTTAGCAGCTCGTACTAGCCTCCTCCCAACTCAAGAAGTGGTTTCCAAGTGAGGATTCTTTTTTTTTTTTTTTTTAATTTTTAAAAATTTAATTTACATTGATGTTCTACCATGTCTGTCTGTGTGAGGGTGTCAAATCCCCTGGAACTGGAATTACAGACAGTTGTGAACTATCATGTGGGTGCTGGGATTTGAACCTGGGTCCTTTGGAAGAGCAGCCTTTTCTCCAGCATCCCAGTGATGGTTCTTACTCCAAGGTGAGGAAGGGTGGGGAATACTTTAAGACCAACCTAAGTCTCTTGTTCACAGAATACTTCACGGGCATTGCCACCCTCAGGTGTACCTAACAGGGTGCCCATACTGGGACTAACCACCATGACTGCCACTTGGCTGGAAATGCACCAAAGAGGGAGGGAGGGAATCCTAGGTCCCCTCAGCTGCTCCCTCACTGCCTGAGGCCAGGGATTAGAGTCATGCACCACCACACCTAGCTTGAATTATGTCTTTTCATTTACTTACTTATTTGTTTACTTATGTATTTATTTTATGTAGATGAGGTCTCTAACTGCATTACACCTGCATGCCAGAAGAGGGCATCAGATCTCATTATAGATGGTTGTGAGCGACCATATGGGTGCTGGGAATTTAACTCAGGACCTCCGGAAGAGCAGACAAGTGCTCTTAACCACTGAGCCATCTCTCCAGCGCCCCCCTTTTATAGTATTATTATTATTTTTTTTAAGATTTATTTATTTTATGTATGAGTTCTATCTACATGTTCACCTGCATTCCAGAAGAGGGCACCATATCCTGGTTTAGGTGGTTGTGAGCCACCATGTGGTTGCTAGGAATTGAACTCAGGAACTCTAGAAGAGCAGACAGTGCTCTTAACCTCTGAGCCAACTCTCCAGCCCCGAATTAGGTCTTATTCCTGATCTAGAGACTGGTTTTGGTACCCACAATGCATTCTGAGCCAGCCTCCTTCGCCTGGCCAGTTACAACTCCCACGTACCCTTCTCAGGTACCCAACACCGTTCTCCTTCAAACTCCTATCACTCAACAGCTTCCTGCTGCTCTTTCTGGTTGACGTATCTTCCAAAGTCTAATTACTAAAAGGTACACAACCTTCTACATTTACACTTTTACATGTGTTTGCATGTGCCTGTATGTGTGCAACTGTATGTGTGTGTACCTGTGTATGTGCCTGTGTCTCACTGTGTGTGTCTCTGTGTCTCACTGAATGTATGTGTTTGTGTGTCTCTCTGTGTGTCTCACTGTGTATGCATGTGTCTGTCTGCCTCTGTGTCTCACTACGTGTATGTGTGTGTGTGTCTACTGGTAAAGACTATCACCTCCCTCATCTTGGGCAGAATATTTTCTTTAATGCGTGGAACTCCCTGACCCCTAGGTACCTGGCCACCATGTTGGTAACTCAGTCTTTAGCTAAAAGTCCTCTGTCTGTCTCTTAGAAACTACAGGAAGGAGGTCCAAACTCACTAGTCCACACCATTCTGGGAAGTTCTTGCTCCATTTTTAAGGTGAGAACACTGAGGCATAGAAACAAAGTGCCAATTGCAAAGGCCATCACCCTTCCCTCGAGCTTGCATCCAAGCTGTATAGCACAGTCTCCTTCAGTACCTAAGGGCCCTGTCCTCGTCCCACAGAAATCTCTAGAGCAGTCAGTGGTTCTCAACCTTCCTGATACTGCGACCCTTTAATACAGGGTTCCTCATGTTGTGATGTCAAACCATGAAATTATTTTCACTGCTACTTCATAACCCTAATTTTGAATTTTCAATTAGGAATTATAATATACATATATGATATGTGAGTCTTGTGAGTGGGTCATTTGACCCCCAAATGGGTTGTGACCCACAAGTTGAGAGCCACCGTTCTAGAGGAAGGCCCAAGAAAGACTCAAATGTCCCTAGAGGAGAAGGCTGAGGATCCTTCAAGGGACAAAGAAGTCTAACTCACAGGTATGATGACTCGGGTTATATGCTTTCTCTGTCGCCTGAGACCTGCTCTCCCCAGGGTGCCTAGCTCACCTAATCCCAAGGCCCACAGAAGCCCTCACTTGGCCTCCAACTCTAGCTGAGACCACAGGACAGCAGGAGGCTGCTCCTAGTATTGGAGGAGCTGGTGGTTGACCAACCTCAAACCAACCACACAGGAACCTACCAGAAGGGATGAAAAATGTGTAGCCTTGCTTCAGCTCAATCCTTTGGCATCGTTCCACACGGTCTCCCAGAAAGATGTCACTCTGTTTGCCTGACAGCACCCATTCCTCATACAGTGCCAAGTTGTGCAGGGTTGGAGGTATCAGCCAAAAGATCTTGGGAGGGAGAGGAGGCAGTTAGGCCAATGATTTCTTCCAGGCTCTGAACAAACCCAAAAGGGCCCTACCTACTTGGGGGCGGGACAAGGAAAGTGGTAAATCTGTCTGTCTGGGCTCCCTGAGCAGAGCTCAAAGCAGGGAGGGAGGGTTCTGGCTACCTTTGGGGTATCTCCATTCCAACTGAAATACCAAGGCAGGAATGCTTCCTGTACTGGGTAGAACATTTTTTCTCCTCAGCCACAGGCTTGTCTGGGAGGTAGGGAAAGGAATGTAAGGGAATTTCCTAAGATGTATGATAAAATGGCCAAATAAACTCAGCTCACTTCAGAGGAGGAAAAATATCTGGAAACAAGTGGGTTAACTTCCTCCCAGAATCTCCTCTGACACTGTCATTTTAAAGACACCGATGAAACAGCCACACCTGGGCATTCTCAAGAAGCGCCTTCATCGGTGCAGGGACGTCACACGCAAACATAGCGCGAGCACCCTTCCTTTTCAGAGCGATGTCCTATCTATCCCCGGTGTAAAATGCTCTTGTAAAGGCTGGTGGTGACTGCCTCCTTTGAAGTTAAAAGGCTCGGTGCCAGAGCTGAGGCAAAGCTGAAGAGCTTCAAGCTAGAGCTTCCTGGGAGCTGCAAACTGGCCTAGGGCACTTAGAACACCAGACAGAGCAAGTACATAGGAAGAGGTGCCTCTTCCCTCCAGAAGGAAATAGCCAAGAGGAGGTAAGGGGGAAAGAGGTAACAGGTGGGCAGAGCAAGCCTTTCCACGCACACAGAAGCTAGAGGCACGATGAGCACTCACCTTCCCGCCACGGAAAACATGGTACCACACGGAGGTGCCGCCAAAGTCGATGTGGAAGTCAGTGAAACAACCCTTCACACTCATCAGACAGTACCTGCAGTGTAGAAGCAGGAACAAGACAACACAAGTCAACCCCAGACAGCATGAGGCGAGGCGAGCAGCCGCCGGACCCGGTGCCCTTTTATGAAAGCTTGCAGATGGGGAATTTCCGCCTCTTTTTTCAAAAACTGAAATCTAAGTGGAGTTTCCCTCCTGGGGGATGGCCCTGTGATCAGGTGACAAATCTCGTGGGTCATCCACCCTAGAAGCTCAGAGGCAGCATCTTGGTTTTCAGGTTCCCAAGAGAACTGGTAACCCACAGGCCGCTATCAGTTCCAACCCCCGCCCACCCCACCCCCACCCACCTCGGAGTCTTCCTTTCTGCTCAGCCCTGAAGCTAAGACTGCTTCTGCTCTCTCCAGCAGCCAGCCCCCTTTTGCAGCAGGTGGGCCCCCTGGAATTCAGCAGCAAACCGCCTGCATAGTTTGCCCATCACCAGTCCCCATTCATCTAACTCATTCAGTCGCTGGTCCGGCCCAGAAATGAAGCCCGGAACTGAGAGAACTGGGTAAGCATGCTGGAGACTCCTGCCCTTGCAGATGTGCCTCCTGTGGTTGAGGGCTGCACAGATGAAGTTAAAGGATGCAATGCTTTGCCAAGTAAGCAACGAGGCTAGAAATCCCACCACCCCGCGTGGTTCCACACGTAGGAAATGTTCCCAAGTGAGGAAGTCCAAAGAGGAAGCACACAGACAGATTAGTGGTGGCCGGGGGCGGGGGGGGGGGGGGGGCTGGGAACGACACCAAGGAGTGCGGGGGTTTCATTCCAGCAGGGATGAAGATGTCCTCAAACTGTGTGGTTGCGCCTTTCTGTGAACACACTGGAAAACACCGGGTTGCACACTTTTTCGGTGTGAACAATATGTGAATTTTATCTCGACAAAGGTGTTTTATCTTTTTCTTTTCCCTTTCTTTCTTTTTCTTTTTTTTTTTTTTCTTTTTCTTTTTTTTAAAGTGACGGCATTAAAAGAAGGTCCTGGGATCAGAGAGGGGTGAAGAACTCCCGCAATAGATGCTGGATCACAGGTTGTGCATTCAAGACGAGAAGGAACCCACTGACCGCGTCCCTCCCTTACAAGCTCTAAAAGAGGTAGGCAGCGCAATCTTCCTCGCTGGCACACAGCGGTCTCCCGTTCCAATGCCCTACATGATGCTGGCCCCAGGAAGAGGGGGACACCCCACTGCCTTCCAAGTCCAGGCCTGGCAAAAAACGATGTTAGACCCCCTACCACTGACCCCCTACCCACAAGAACCCCAGGGGGCACGAAAGAACAACCTCCCCCTCCCTCATGCTCTTCTCGGCACCTCCAGAGGCCCGCGCACAAGCTTACCCCACTGACCTCTTTTTCCCGCTGCACTTTGCTCTTCCGTGGTTTGGGGGAAGAGGGATGGAATGGGGCGGGGACCTGCAGGGAGGAGCCAGCGGCAAGGCCCAGTGGAGAGAATAGGGGGCGTGGGGCTGGGCTGGCTAGAGGGCTGGAGGCTCTAGGAGCCCCCTCCTCCTGGTTGCCTTTTGCACCTCTCTGTTCAGGTAGACCCGGGGCTCAGCCATATGCAAGCAGCGTGCCCCGCGTCCCTCCTCCGGATAGGCTGGAAGGAGCCTTAACCATGTGTCTGCAGGAGGCTGACAAATCAGAAGGCCTCCCCGTACATCAGAGCCCCGCTGCCTAGCAACCCCATCGGAGGGGTGTAGTTGACAGCCCAGGACTGTCACGAAGCTGGCACTAGGGCTGCCGAAGTCCTGACGGGCTTCTACACCCTGCCGGCCCACCTACCCATAGGCGGTGCAAACAGGTCCCCAGACTTGAAACCTAAGAGATCGTCGTCCCCCCCAAAGAATGGGGGTCCTGAAGCCCTACCCCACCCTCATGGACCACACTGGCCTCTTTCAGCTCCACTTCAAAATATTAGTCCTCATTTCCCTAAAACCAGCTCTTTCTCTCGTTTTTTGTTTTCCTCTTCTTTTTTAATCTAACCTTGGTTTCCACCCCCTTCAGGCCTCAGCTGAACACAGACTAGAGAAAACAATTTAAGTGTGTGGGGTGGAGCCCTTCAGCCTGCAGCTGGATGCCCACGGGGTACGTACAGCAGGGGAAAAGGACTAGGGTTGGGTGGTCCAGCTCTAAGACCCCTGGCACTGCTTGGTGGCTCCCACTTAGCCCATCTTCTAGCCCTCTGCCCCCACCCTCACACGGGAAAACTAGGGTTCTCCGGCTGTGTGCGCAGAGAAAGTTCTCCAAGTGTAGCCCGTGTCCGGATCCGCCCTCAGGGGCCCACTGTATGCTAACAGACCAGCCAATTCCAAGGTGGGCCCCTCCTTTCAGGGTCCATTCCACCCCTCCCACTCCACACGCCCTGATTAAGCGAAAGTGGCTGTGACAGAGTGGCTCTGTGCTGGTCTCCCATCCCCGCAAAGGCAACCCTAGGCTTGCTCTACTCCAAGGCTCCCACCCACGCTGACGGGGGGCTCCTCCTCGCTCCTGCTCGATCTGGCGTGACGCCTTTGCACTGACCTCTACAGCTTCCTCCTCCCAAGCACACCGCAGTCACATGGGCACCCTGGCTCGGCTTGGTGCCACAGCCAGCCCGCCAGCTAGCCGGGCTTCCGCAACGGCAAGGCTGGACAGCCACGCACGCGACAGCCCCGACCCCACCCCCACCCTCCCTCCCGCTAGGTGGCTTCTGTGCACTCTGCAAGTTCTCGGCGGAAAATTGCTGAAAATCAGTAGCGCAGGAGCTTGGTCCTTCCGGGCTTGGAGGCCGGGGATGGAGGGAGGCACGAGGCACAGCGGGGCGCTACACCTGCCGCACCAACTTTGGGGCGCGGCCTGGGGTCTGCAGAGGTGGGGCGGCCCCACCTTGCCCTTCCCTCTCCAACTTCCAGAAACTCTGCCCCGGGTGGCCCAACTGGCTTCCCCCTCGGGCGCGGGGCTGATGGAGAGACCCAGGAAAGCTGGCGACGGGTGGCGGGCTGGAGGCGCCGCGCGGGCGCGAACGTCCACGCCCCACACGATCAGCCCGCCCCGGGAGACACAAAGAACAGCTCGGCGACGCTGGCCGTGCATCCCGCGGGCAGGAGGCCACCCACACCCGCCCCACGCGCCACAAAGGAGGTTACCCTCGGCGGCCGGGGAGCGGCTCCCGGGCGTCCCCTTCCGCAGAGGCTCGACGCGCGCCAGACCCAGGAGGCGACGGCGGCCGAGCCCCCTCCACGGCGCTGCCAGGCCCCAGCCCAGGACGCCGGGGCCCTCTCGCGCCGCCTTCCTTCCTCCAGGGAGGCAGGCGCAGCCTGCGCTCATCCCCGCGCTGAAACTGAACACCCGCGCGGCGCGGAGGCAGCCAGGGAGGTGGAGAGGCCGCCAGGGATGAGCTCCCGGCCACACTAGGGCACGCGCCAACACACACACACACACACACACACACACACACCAAGGCCCCCTGGCCCACACCTGTGCTTCCCGGCAGTATCCGGGTTTTCCGGTGTAGACAACACCTTGGTGCCCAGGTGGTGACCTGACAAAGCCACCTTCCTCGGGCTCAGCTGATGGGAGGACCAGAGCTGAGATTCCTGGGGAGTGTGTGATGGGGAGAGGGGAAGCTCCTGGCACGAGGAGACTGACTGTGTGACCTTGGGCAACTCCTTTCCTCTCGGGGTAGTTTACTAGAAGTAACCTGAAGTTCAGCTGGGCATTCCAGAAGATTCTTCCCTTACCTGCCCCTCCGGAGCCCCGCAACCTCACGGCATGGGGGTGATTACAGGGGTTCAATGAGGTAAGTGTCCATTAGTTACACATCAGCTATCCACACTTGGCAACAGTGTGAGCCTCCGATGCCCACCGCCTCAGATGAGGAAGCCGGAGTTCGCAAGTTCGGCCCCTCACCCTGAACACTACCCAGGGAGTGGCCGCCGGGACTCAGTCACCTTCTTCGTGAATCCCCCAGTCCCTCCCAGACCGACCTGGCCAATCCCAACTCCAACAACAAAATCTGAAGTTACAGCCAAACTTCAACCATTCACCGCCTTTAGGTGAAAAAAAGAAGAAGTGTTCTGCTCAACTCAAAAGTACCACCCTAGGTCACCGGGGACAAGAGAACCTCCTTTCAGCCCTGGCCTTCCTTCAGAGCCACAGAGAGGCAGGAGATGACTGTATGTCTCTGAAGAGGCAGAAACCAAATTCCATTCTTTGGTCAAACGCTACATTGTGGAAAGCCAGCAATGTAATTAGGTTCTAACTAAAGTGTTGACAGTAACAGGAAGACAGTGTTGGCCTCTATGTCACCCTTCAACTCCATCACTCCCAATTTAAATATGCAAACACTTGAACCCGTTTCCTGGTGCCTTCCCTCCCCAAACCTGTCAGCATTCTGTCTATAAGCTTAGATTATAAGTGGCTAGATTTTTTTTGGGGGGGGGGGCAGGTGTACTTTTTTTTTTTCCTCTTGGGAGGTAAGATTAACAGCTCAGGTCACCAGGAAGGTGTCCCTGGGTAAGAATTTTTATCACACCTAGAAACTGATTTAGAGCTGAAAGCTGGCAGAGGAGGCCACCCTAGCATCTGGTCCATGAAGTTCAAATGAGAGGATTGGTTTTTGGGGTACAAATACCTGTTTCTTGATGGAAGGACCATAGGTGATTCATTTGTGGAAAGAGAACATCAACATCATCTTAAATTCTCATCAGCTTTTTACCTTGGGTGGATTCTCTCTTTTAGCAACTTTGCTTCCTACTGAACTACTCAGAAGCCTCTAACTTGGAATTTCATGGCTCCAATCAAGTTCTGGGTGTACATGCTTGGGCTAGCAAAGTTTTTTGTACTTTTAAATATGTACTATATATTGGGTTTGGGTTTTTTTTTGTTTTGTTTTTTTTGAGATACGGTCTCCCTACGTAGCCCTGGCTGTTCTGAAACTCACACTATAGACCAGACTAGTCTTGAACTCAGAGAGGTTTGCCTGCCTCTGCCTCCTGAGTGCTGGGATTAAAGGCATGTGCCCA